AAATCAACGAGCACCTGACTAAGAAAAGCAGCAAAGCTGAAAGCTCTGGATTTCTGCCCCTAAAAAAACATCCTTTCAAAGATTCTAAAATACTTTTTTGGGAAAAAAATAAAATAGAAAGACTTTCAGAAGACTTAGGAACACAATGACAGGAAATATGCAGAAGTTTGGGCACCTCTGGTAAAACCTCATGTGAAGAGTTTCATTCCAAAATGCTCTATATTCATTTGTAACATTTTTGCATATAAAGGGTTTTTGACAAGAGGAATCGTTGGCTTTCTCGGAAATCACATTTTAATTTCTCTTTTAAAAGTGGTATTAATCATAATATAGAATTAATATTTCTTGTATGTGTAAAGGCCACTCCCAACAACATATCATGTAAGAAAAGAAAATGGCATGTAATTCGTTTTGCAACGGAACGTTTTTTGATTTCCTAAGTGAAAATAAGTTAACACCTCCTTTACTAGTAACAAACTAACATTTTTTCAGCATATTTTAGTGCACAATGTCTATTTATTTGCTGAGTTTACCATATTAGGAAAAAAATAAAACAAACCATAATGTGTGAGAATGTTTGCATGAGCCACATTGTTTTTTTTTCCAGTGTTCTAATGTTAAAATTCAAATATTATATGTGTATTTAAATGTGCAGAAATGTGTTATGTAGATGATTTGGAGGTCAATCAACAAAATGTAATTTGACCAGGTGTGGCCAAACCTTTGTATACGACTGTAAATGGGAGTATCTATCAAGCTCTGTTTTTGACTGTAAAAACTGCATTGTAATCATGCAAATTGTCACAAAATAATTTCTGATAAGGATGATTCTTCCAAATTTATAGTTAGAGTACAAAATACCTGTTAGACTTCCAAGTGACTTTAGACTAAAATTCTATTGCTTTGAGTGACCCAATACCTTAATAATGTTTATTTTATTAAAATAAATGATTGAATATTCTATTTTGTCACTACCAAACCAATAATAACACTATCAAAACTTCACTTAATGTTTCAGTAGTGACCATTTCGGTAGTGACAATTTTAGCTTATTGTGAGTAGAAATCAAAAACACTAGCCAGTACATAACCAGCAAACACAGTTTGAACAGCTGTACACACGTAAAAGCATAATATTTTTCATTAAAACATAAATTTTTACTTAATAGCAGAAAATGTATTTCGGGAGTGACAAGTTTTTGTTTATTAAACGCTAATAAGATAAATAATCTTGATCTAGATAAATCTAAATCTGTCAACTTCACTTTAAAAGAAATTAGAAAGATCTTTAAAAAAAATGTAAATATTATTTCTTGAAGTATAAATTTAGGGGTTGGGACAGACACCTCCCAACAGAAAATACCCCATAAATAATGATTTTGTATATATTTAGCTTATTATTATCTCAGTGTGCCTTGAGCTGAATATATCATAACACAACCCTTGTAAATATCTAATAACTAAACACTTAATTGTTTTTTTATTTAATAGTTTCTTTACTGTGGGACTGCAGTTTGAAGTAATCTGTTAGAAGGATCCATTTATCAAGCAGTTTCAGTTTTAATGGTTCTTTTTTTTTGCAATCTAGTAATCATAGAAGCCCTACATTGAATAAAAACTGGACGACTCACGGTCCATCCACCATGTAGGAGTTAAAAATTCAACAGAAATATAGATGATCAAATATTGATCACCCACAGCACCACATACATATACCTTTCTCTACAGAGTCTCAGGGGGGATGCAGAAAGAAATAGAAACACATACAGAGAATGATCCTCTGACTAATAGTTGCATGACATCAACCTGACTTCATTATTTAGCTGAATAATTGATGTCTTTAAGGGGAGTGTGGGGGGTGGGTGTTGGGGGGGTGTAATACCTGTCACAGTCCGTAGCCGCTCGCTGTAGTAATAGAACTTTTTTGCCGTTCGTAGCGATCTGCTGCTTAATGAAAGTTTAATACAGGTGCCATTGGCAGTTTGGCGTCGAACAATGCTTTGAGGCAAACTCCCCTCACTGCACTATATGGAGGAAGGGGGAGTAAAGAGAGTTGCTCTCATTAGGGACTCGCTCAGCTTCATGTTTCATTGATCACTCCCCCTCATTCCCTCCAACATGCTGCAGGTTGCTAATTATTATGGATTGCTTGCTTATTGTTTTCTAATATTGCGCAGCTCTTGTATTGTGGAAATCCTCTCACGTTCTTTCACTCTCTGCTACCTTTTAACTATTCAAAGGGTTGTGGGCTGCTGTCTCAAAAAGGTGCCTGAATACTGCAAAAGCACTGTCGTCTCTTCAAATCTTTTTTGATGGAAATCACTTTTGCTCTGTTTTGATGGAAATCAGTGGAAATGGAAATCTATTTTAATGTGAAAAATCTCATTATTAATGGAGAAGAGCTGATTAAAAGGCGAGACCACCTTCATTTATTTCATTCGCAGTCAAAACAGCCATTAAGTACAATTTTTCGAGAGATATTTCTGAAGAGATTAGCTGTAAGATAATCCACTTATGTAAGCCAAAGCCAAATGAAAATTAATGAAAAAACGGGAGTATCCAAAACTGGAGTAAAAAAGAAATGATACATATGAATGAAAACATACAGAGAAAATTGAGCTCCTGACGACCACCTCCAAGACTTGGTAGACCATCAAAACTGTCACCATAAGGTAAACGGTACTTTAATCTATAAGAGAGGGGAGAAAATCAAGCTCTACTCCATGGTCCGATATTTCATTTCACTCTTGGGGACAATAAACTGAAAAAAATCTCAACAGCGATTCCTAAACTGGGTTTAGGGCATAGATATAAATACATTGATACCACATTGTCTGTTGCTCTCAAACTGAGGCAATACGTCTGCACGTCCGCCATGTTGGAGAGGTCAAGACCCGCTGGCAAACACATACACATGTACTGAGATATGACAAGTTCTCATGATTAAATTGACCATAACTTCCTTATTACCCAGCTGATTTGCACCAAATTTTGTATCTTCAGACACAGATTAATCTAAGTTGCATGGACTGCTCATGTGCTGCAGTCTGCACTTGACATTAAAAACCAAGTTTAGCATTAGCTCCGGTAGAAACACCATCACACAGCAGCAAATTCATAAATTATGCACATAACGATGCAATAAACCCCCAAAACCACAGTAAAAAGTGCTAATCTAATGTGAATATCTATACAAATTAAGGACTGCTGTACCTACAGTGCTCACTCAGCATTAACAATTATCATAAATAAATGATACATAAATGCTTCATGTCAAGTTAAGATCCCTTCTGTAGGTTATTAAATGAAATAAGCTTAATACAAAACCAGAGAAAAAAACAATCACACCAATGAGTTCTCACTGCTTCACCAACCACACAGTCCTATCTGTACATAAACATCACACAAACATGAGTGTGGATTGCTGCGTTCTCTCCGTTATATAATCCTGTCCACTTTCTGAGTGCAGTATTCTTAAAGTAGTATAATTTTGGACAGTATCTTTCTTAAACTGATGCTCTGTAATGGTCCTGAATGCAGTCCAGCAGTGATGTTGACCGCCCCAAAATGGCAGCTCTGTTGACGTGCCTGGCAGAACCCAACGCAATATCCATGCATGTATATCTGTCCATCTGTGATTAGCACAGGTTCTGTTAATACATATTTTATATTATTTAAAATTATATAGTTATGTTTACAATGATATATTGAGGAGGACACCTCTTAGTTCTTCTCAGGAAGGACACTGGGCCAGTCACTCTTGCACAGGTGTTTCTGTCCATCCTTCTACTGTGAGAAGACAACTCAGTGCTATGGGTCTGAAAGGATATGTAGCTGTCAAGGAGAAAATGAAATAGACAAGAATATTCACAAAGCAAACAAAGAATGTGCTGGTGTTCTCAGAACAGTGGACTGACCCCAGACCTCAATATCACTGAATGTGTTTGGGATTAACTGGATTGTAAGAAGCAGAAAATGCAACCAACTTTTAAAACTGAACTTTTAAAAACAGATTTCTTTGAAAAACTAAAGAAGTTTGACACAAACAACAACTTTTTGCAAACACACATATCAATAAGAATATACTTTACACTTATGTGACCTTTTATTGTTACGCTGATGAAAGCAGTCAATAACAAGCATTTCCAAAGAGTTGTTCTAAATGTATTTACACACTCACACATTAATTACCGCAGTGGGTCCAACAATAAAGGCAGCATGAAAGTTATTTTATATAGTGATAGGAAATATGGTAATTAGGATTATTGGTTTGGGAGGAGCAGAAAATACAATCAACTTTTAAGAAGGAACTTTGGAGGACTGGAAAAATAAGCCTGCAGATTTCTTTAGAAAACTGAATGCAAGTCTCTTAAAAAGAATAGAAGATCTTATAAAGGCAAAGAGTGGACACACTAAATACTGAAATTATATTAGTTTTGGCTGTTGAGGCATAGGTGTAATTTTCTGTTAAATACATGCCTTGTTGGGGCTGCTGTGTGGTGCAACTGTCTTAGCTTTGGCCCTATCCTCAGGAGATTGAGAGTTCAATCCCTGGTGATGCTACAGCCATCCATGGCTGGGAGTCCAGAAGAGTACAATTGGTCTTGCTCTCCCCGCTCGCCATCTCCCCTGAGTGCCAGCACAGGCATCTGTTAGCTAATGTAACAGAACTGGCAGTTGGCACTTTCCTCCAAACACGTTCAACTGCCCAGGTTGGAGGAAGCCTGTGCTAGCTTTTGGCCTCCTAGCACTGATGGTATTGTGTGACTGGGGGGTCCTAACTAGTGGGTGAACTTGTAGATGACTAAATTAGGGAGAAAATTGGGGGAGAAAAAAAAATGGTGATCCCTGACTTTTGCACAGTGCTGTACTTCATTAAAACCTTTTTGAAACGTGTTCTCAATCTTTTGAAAGCACAGTTGCGAAGTTCATTGGTTCACGTTGTTACGTCGCCGAGAGTTTATTGGAGTTTTAACAGTGCTTGTGTTTTGTCTTTTGTAGGAAGGGGCACATCAGGCGATTTTCACACCATGGTGTCACTGGGCAGTCTGCTGGATGACCAACACTGGCACCACATTAGCATCGAGCGGCTTCGCGGACACGTCAACTTCACGGTGGACAAAAATACACAGCGGCTCCAGCTCCCCGAGCACCAGAGTCACTTTGAGATTAACGAGGTGTGCTGCCACTGACCTGCTTCACACTTCTCCCCACTGCCCGTGCTCATAAACAGCCTGCTCCATTTCCCTCTCTCTCTCTCTCTCTTCCGCTCTCTCTCTGTCTCTCTCAAACTCAATCTCGTATGCTCAAGCTCACACTTAACATAAATTGGCCAGGATAAAAATGGCCATGAGTGGCGCTCAGCTTTTTGCATTTCGGCTGATCGTTGTGTAATGTCCTTCGTTATAGAAGTGCCTGTTTTCATCAGCCTCTCGCTTGCGGCTGCTAGAAGACTTCCTGTTTTTAAACAGCTCAAAGTCATCAGTTTTAATTCATCGATCCGCGCGTCTCCTTGATGCGAGATGCCGTCAGGTTGACTTCGTTAAGCTCTAACGTTTTCATCATGGTCTCTTGATCAGTCCTTCACTGAGCGTGTGTGTTTAGAGGAAGCGTGGATAATTTGACATCAGACTGTTGTTCTTTCACAAGATCAGTTTTGGCGGCGTGTCGGCTGTTGGGGCTCAGAGAGACCATTCCAGAAGGAACTTCCACGGCTGTCTGGAGAACGTGCTGTACAACGGCATTAACGTGATTGAGCAGGCCAAGGAGAAGCAAGTCTCTGTAATGGTAAGAAGCTGCACACCAATGACAAAGTGAAAAGGAGAATCAGCGGTCTCTGGCTGTGGGCCCATATCATGGAACACTGAATTTTCCCTACTTTTTTCAAATAAGAGTTTGATGTAGTACATAAACATTGCTAAAATGAGAAAACATACCATTCACTCCCCAGTCCATACAGTTCATATACGGTTGATTTGAATTCCCTAACCTTATTCATCAGTGTTGCATACGGACAAATCTGATCATAAAATGAGAACATGCAAATTTCACTGATAGTTTTGTTACTCATCAGTTTCATCTGTAGTGTATCTGTACAATCAAACTCATGTCTGGTAGGAGTGTGTGTAAATTTGAGCAATTAACCACATAAAAAAATGCTTGATTTGTGGTTAACTAACCAAATTATTATCAATATCATCCGCTATACCAATCAGGAAGAAAAATCTAAAACAGTATGCACATGGTAAAAAAGTGGATGTACTTATTTTACATGCACATTAGAATAAACAAATGCTGCCATTTTTCTGTGTTCCATTTAAAAACATCACACTGTGCTTTTGTTTTATACAACTGACTCCACCTCGAAAAATGAACAATACATAAGACAGCTAGTGCAGAAGCTGCTCATTAATGGCAATAAGACCATGTTTAAATATGTTATTGTATAAAATAATCACACTACACAATCACATTAATCTACTGTCTTCTTTATTTCACATTTTATCCTTTCCAGTCGTTGCCATGGTGGGATGGCGCTTGATTTCATGCACTGAAGCTGATTCATCATTTGCGCTTAAATCTTCGCTTGTTACCACATCGTATTTCGTGAGTCAGATCCAGAGTAGTCAGAATGTCAAATCTGCACTCTTATTTATGCAACTTTGATGAATATGTGATCAGAACATTCTGCCTACAGCTGTTTAGTCACGCCCATTCATGCTGAAGTTATAAGGAGTGTTTCAGCTACCTTGAACAATACAGAACAGCCAATCAGAACAGCGCTCATTTGTTGAAGGCACAATAACAAAAACAGCCTGGTTAATGGTAATGGATAAAGAGAGGTTGGAAAATGGTCATATAAAATAAATGATGACTGTGTTTGATAAATAAAACCACAATAACGTTATCAGTGGACCTGATATGGCAAGAAAGAAAATTGTAGAACCAAGTCCTAAGTTTTAGTTCGGCACTTAAGCTACAAGGCTAATAGCTAACAAAAAACCTTAGCAAACTGGAGCCTCAGTTAGACCGGCTTGTGTAGTCTGACATTCTGTTATCTGTGGATAATGGGCACAATTTAGGCTTTAAGGAAGCTGCTACTGTTTTGGCTATGCAACCTGTTTTTTCGTTTTTATGTAGTAGGAAGTCATATAGTGTCAGAAACCACAGTCATTTGAAAGTGTTTTAACACCTTAGTCAAATTCCATGTATTGTTGACCTTTTAAGTGAAAATATGTTAACATGACCTCCACAGAGAACTTCATTTGGCAATATTGTGCAAGTATGTATTTATTTTATTTCTGTCTATGTATTTAGTTTAACATATTGTAAAAAATTAAACATAAAATATAATGGCCACATTTCATGTTTTACTTTTCCTGCAATAAGTTAAATTCAGGAAATACACAGGAAGTGTGCATCAAAATGTGCAGAACTGAACTTCAAAAAACAGCAAAATCACCAAACCTGTAATTTGACCAAGGGTGCCCAAACTTTTGCGCAACAGTAGGCAAGTCTATTTGTGATCACTTCTAGTTCCAAGGAACACAGTGTAAATTAGAAACACAACAACACACTTTACTGCTGCACATGCATCCAGGGAATGCTGGTGTGGACGACTGACCGAACCGATGGACAGATGACAGGCAGACAGAGCTTGCTTGAAAGCTCAGTTATCCTTAGATTAGCTTTTGCTTGGTTGTTAGTTTCCTCTCTCTGAGTTTCTAATCTGATTTTTTAATGGAGAAAATACTCATCTTGCTGGTATGGAGGGCCATGTAGCTCTAACACTTCGCATGGACTCTCCATTTCAACAAAAATAGGGACACCCTACCCCTAGGACTGAATGCATGAAACGGAGGGGTAAGGGCTAAGTGATGGGGGGTGAAAAGGGATTGAGCCTTAGAAAAAGAGGAAAAACTGATCAACTGCCCAACTACTACTTAAACACTGCTTCAGACAACGATCTGTCTTCTTTGTGTGGTTAGGTTGCTTGGCTCATTTCACTCATCAGTGCATCTACAACTTGTATAGCTTAAACATTATTTTAAAAAATTTAACAAAGATCTGGGCCACTACAGACTTTTAAGTAGCTTTGGAAACGACTGGCACCAGCGCCAATGACAAATATCACTTAGCGTATTTAAAATTCCAGTCTGAATGGCCTTTAAATGAATGTTTGTTGCTGTATTTTACCAGAATAAAGTATGATGCTTGCTACATTAACAGAGTTCTTTATCAATAAATATCATTATCCACTGTGTTTGTTTCTTTGAATCATCTACTGCATAGACTAATACGGAGCATAGTTACATTACTCACTGCTTGTTTTTCTCTGTTAGTTCTGTTCACTGGGGAATTAGAGGTTAAGGCAATTACAAATTCTGTTAATCATGGTCTTAATCAGCCCAGACTCAGTGTGGGGGAGCCCAATGCATAATTTACAAGGCAAACATCATAACTCACATCCTGAGTAATTTACTTTCAGAAATCTGTTTGCATGAATAATGACTTGCGAGCTCGGATGAGCTGGAAATAAGATGGATTTTGCCTTTCACGGTTTAAGCACTTTTGACTTTTGATCTCTTTCGCAGGGGAACATCACGTTCGTGTGCTCCGAGGCCGTTGATGTGCCGGTGACTTTTGCCAGCCCGGAGAGCTTCCTGCAGCTGCCTTGGGCCGTGTCACGGGACAGTGCGTCTGTCAGCCTGCAGTTCCGGACGTGGAACAAGGCGGGCCTGTTGATGACCTTTGATCTCCAGCATCAGGCGGGTGCGCTGTGGCTTTACCTGAGTGAGGCCAAGGCACGGCTGCAGATCCAGAAGGCTGGGAGGGTTATGGTGGACATCACAGCAGGTCAGAGCTCTTCTCTTACATGAAATGAACTGTAGCTTTGCTGACGTGACGTTGTAAATAACCACCTGAATACTTTAATGAGCTCTGCTTGGCTTCCAGGCGAATTGTTATGAAACTCTGATCTTAAATGTGCATTCTAGGATTAGTTGGGGATGGGGGCGCTTGGTGGGGGTCATGCCCTTTCCAATGTCTGGAGAACTATTTAATTGGCCCAATTATTCCCACTCAGTGCATCCTTGTGACTAAAGACCACCAGACCTCGGATGTAGAATCACATAGCACATACGGCACAAAGTGCCGCTATGCTATGTAGAATGTGTTGCAGAGCACAAACTTGCTGTTTTCAAACTCAAAGAAAATCAAGGCCAGTAACGTTAGCCGAGGTAATAGACCATTATAGCATGTGTCTGTTAATCTAAAAGACTAACTGCCGTTGTTGGTGCAAATTTCCAGCCACGAGTCATCTACTACGACTGTCTGTGGTCTCGACACGGCTTTTATTTAATGCAGTAATGGAAATGATGTGCTGAGAAATTGAACAGAATTGATGCACATGATTGTTGAATGTATAAAGTATGAAAAATGTATAAGGATGTTTATGCAAGTTCATGAAGCCCCGAAATAGGCAGGCTTTAAGTAAAATATTAATGAATATTTTTCATATTGAACTATTGGGTAACTATATGTTGGCATATTCTTAATGTACACATGTAACATCATCGCTGTCCAACAAAACAAGCCTTTGCAAAATGGTAATAGGAGAATGCAAAAACATTTAATTTAATGACAGTTAATGTAAAGAGATTTTATTCCAAGCAATTTTTGAGCATCTCTGTTAATCTGTAATCAATGTACAGAGCAGATGTCGTGTTCAAATTACGTAGAGAAAAAATGGTAATACTTGTTTTACACTAGTGGTGATATGCTAATATTTAGAATAAACCCTAATCATATGATGAAGTGGAATGAGCAGTGTTTACCCCCCAAAGTAGAAATGAAACCTAAGTCACTGCTTAAATAAATTAGCAAAAACATAACATTTTTCCTCTTACCTAAAATATAGCCAATTAGCCAAGATATTGGTGTTTTAAGTTTGTTTCTTTCCTTTTGCACTAGAACTATGAGGCTAAATTAGCTAACATGTAATGGACACATATAGCATGGTGCAAAACATACAAGACTGGCTGCTGCTTCTGTTTTTCGTAACACAATGTACTGTTGTCCATTTTAATAGATAGTAGAGTCAAAAGCCACATAAGCAAAATTATTTAAGATTGAGGTATTAGGCAAATGATTGATCACTTAAGTATGCTAATTAGTAGTGTATAAGCTATCATCACGTAATAGCCACATTAGCCTTATAAGTCAAATGCAAAGATTTAACTGTGTACATTTGATTGAACTACTAAAGATTCCTGGCTTAAAAAAAAAAAAGTAGTAAAAATGTTATGCATCTGTTACAGGCTCGGGGCTGAATGATGGACAGTGGCACTCTGTGGAACTGAGCGTCCGACGAGGTCGCCTGGTCCTGGCTGTGGACAAAGCAGACGCCTCCACAACCACCACATCCTTTCCTGTGATGCCGACACACCATATCTTTTTAGGAGGTACAGCAAAACCCCATGTACAGCTAGTATAAGCTTTCCTCTAGGCCCCAAAAAAACCCAATAACTTTCCTCTAACAAAGCAGTGTTCCTAGCATTAATCCGTCAATGCCACACCACTGCATGCCGCCTCGTCCCGCTCACCCAGCCCTCCCCTGTTCTTCGAAAACACAGCCACTCATTCATGGCTCAGCCTGCTTGGGAGAGAATTGGTCTCCCTGCGTCTTCCACACGTCGCGCTCCTAGTGAGAGAGAGAGAGATAGAGCGCGTGTGGTTTAATTACCTTTAGCTCAGTAATTGGAGGGTGCGCTAACGGCGTCTGGGCACCGCACTGGGGATCATGTCAAAGCTCTGCTCTGGTCTCTGGCGTCTTGCTGCGTTTTTCGCCCTCAGCCGAAAGCACACGCCGTTGAGGATCACATACAAAATGAGATTTGCCAGTGTGAGCCTTTAAATCATGCGAACACCCTTGCATTATATCGGGACCTGTGGTGATTTATTCCTAATACGGAGAGGGCCAGGGTGCAACAAAACGTCAGGCTTCCAGATGGTTACTAGTACTGTTTGCATTCGTGCTACATATGTTTGCGTATTTTAATAAGGGAACAGCACGTCATACAGTGTCCAAGGAAGACTGTTTGAGCTTATTTAACAACTGGATGCAGTTTTTAAGGCAAGTGTGTGATGGTTCACTTTGCACAATGCTAATTGACGGAGTATAAGCTTTCATTGCTTGCTCATAGGTCCTGTGCAAAAGTAAAGAAGCATATTTTGGACGCCAGACATGTCTTGTGTAAATGTCATTGTTTACCAAACTGATGCTAAGAGCTGCTTACTTCAAATTAATGCTCTCAGCAAAGTGGCTGTTTTTAGCCGATAGAATGATAAACTGGTGTCCGCTGGTTATTTTAAGGCATTGAAATAGGTGTGCTAGATGACACAAGTGTGTAGTGCTTAGTGTGGGTTTGCCAGGATTGAGATAAGGAACCTCAGTTACAAAGCCATGTTTAGCAGTGTGAACATTTTCCACAAGAAGGTGCAACTGGAACTAAAGTTGCTTATGTGAGAATCACTGAAATAAAGGGGAACCCACACAAGCAGGATCTCACTGATGTACGTATGTTTGTAGCTTCAAATTCCATGTGTATAAAGTAAAAGTGTACATAAAGTAAAAGAGACCTAATCGTCTAAGAGGCGTTATCACTATAAAACGAAACAGCAAAAAAATAAAGAAATGCTGTTGTGTGTCACAAGCTTCAAATGCTTCAAAGTAAAAGTGTTCAAGATTTCAAAAGCAGAAATCCGAGTACTGCCTGACTCATGTAGACCCGGAGTTTCCCATTATCTGATTACTTAAGTGCATGTAAACACACTCAAGTAATCAGATCTGGTCAGATCGGATTACTGACAAAATCTGATTTTCTGCAGTTATCGGATTATTAAGTGCATGTAAATGCACTCACTGAAAGCACTGCACAAGTGAAAATTGCCATTATCGTAGCAGTGGTACTTACAAACTGAAGATTTCTCCAGTAAACACTGCTATATAATGATATTCACAGCTGTGTCATGTTCATGAAATGACTGGCTCAGGAGAGCATTACAGATTTATCAAAATGACAAATTATTTAAAATGCATCAAATGAAAATGTTGGATACCTGCAGATACACAGATACAGCAACAATAAGGAGTGCCTAAATATGTTCATATGTTAATGTTAATATACTGTAAAATATTAGTACCATGTGCACAGCTTAAATTCATCCATGAATGATGCACATATTTTCAGGTTCTATGCGACTTTCAATACTGAGGTCAGGACTTTTGATATTTTGATATTTTGTTTCCTCGGATCTCTAATTATGTACTACACAGATTGATTTGGCTCAAATCATAAATATAAGTTCTCCAGTAGAACTTATTCAATACCTGCCGTGCAGCCCTGTGACAAAATAATCCCCAAAAATCACAACCCCTAGAATTTATAGTTGATTTATTAAATGCCCAGTCATTCGCATATGGATGTGTCCATAGCAAAGCCCCTCCCCCTTTAGGCTGGCTTTACAGCATACTTTCAAACCACTGATTTCACCAGATCAGTGGACAAAAAAATAAAACTTGTTTGTTTACTGGACGGTTTAAAGGAAAAACTCAATTATATAGTAAAGAACCCTACACAGATAGAAAAATGACAAATATATAGGTATAGAAAAAAGAACAGCAATGACAGCTGGAAAATAAAATATAAAAATACAAAAAAAGTATAAATTACATTTCGCGAATGACTTTATAGCAAGAACAATATGGTGTTTCAAAAAATACGAACTGCTAACTAGTGGTGTAAGTGAATGTGCTGAGTGGAACTCACAGCGTACATTGAGTTGCATGAAAGTTTGTAAAGCCATGTGGAGCCAACCTCACTCTGATTGGCTGCACCCAGACGCATAATTTTTATCATTAACTTCAGTGGTTTCTACAGAGCCCTGTTGGTGACATCCCATGTAAATAAAAATAATGCGTGGCCACGCCTTATTAACGCGTGGGAACAAGATCCTAATGCATGGCCATGACTTATTAAGGTGTGGGAATGAGATAATTAAGTTGTGTCTACGAGATCATGCCTTACTAAGTCGTGGTCACGCGTCAGGAACTCGTTCCCATGCCTTACTAAGTTGTGGCCACATATTAGGATCTTGTTCCCACACCTTACTAAGTCATAGGCATGACTTAATTATCTTGTACCCACACCTTACTAAGTTGTAGTAAGGCGTGGGAATTTTGCTCGTGTTGTTGTTTACTGTTCTTTGTACTGCTGCAATAGAAGAATCTATCTATCTATCCATCCATCCATCCATCCATCTATCTCTGTCTGTCTGTCCATCTTGTGGCCACACATTATTTTTATTTATACAGGATGTCACCAGCAGGGCTCCGTAGGTTTCCAAGAAATATGGCAAATGAGAGACTGAGGGGAGTATTGGCGATGCACGTTTAAAATCAGATACAGACATCGTTACACCCTTACTGCATAATATGTTACTGTATAGTTAAGCTCATTTTTATTGTTCGACCTCCAAAAAAAACACAGCAGCTACACGTAGGACTGAAACACTGTTCATCTGGCTTATTTATCTTACACCTTTTTGTCAGTGCATCCTCTCCTCCAGAAACTTGTCTGCTGTTTGAAACCTGCTGACTGGTTCGGTTGATTTGGCCTACAGGATGTCCAAACACAGAAGACAGCAGCGGATGCAGGAACCCCTTCAGCGTTTTCCAAGGATGCATGCGGCTCATCCATTTGGACAACAGCTTAGTGGATCTGATCAAGGTGCAACAGATGCTGGTGGGAAACTTCAGCGACCTCCAAATGGACATGTGCGGAATCGTGGACAGGTACGGCAACCGTTTCATCACTGAGCTCCACTGAAACCTATCAGTCCTTGATATTTTTCCATCTCTGCAAACAGACGTATTCAGCTTCATCATGCAAATACAATGTTGCGCTTCATTAATTAGGCGAAGCATTACCGCTGAATATTAATGCGGCTGCCTGAGAGCAAGACACAGAAGTGTACGCAGTGGGCGGAAGCCAGTGTTAATGAATTGTACTTTTTTTCTGTGTAATCAATAGAAATAAATCCATTTTCACACCTTGTTCTAGATTCACAATCCATTTTCCACTCTCAGTTCAGAAAGCGCTGTCATCACATCTCCTGCCTCTGCTTCCCTGGTCTAATGTAACAGAAAAAAAAAGACAGAGAGAGAAAGAAAAATCTTTCAGCTTGTCTCTAGCGGAAGATACATCTTGTTTTCTTCCCTCACGTCAAACTTTTTCCTTTGAAAAGTTCCATGGGAACTTTGCTCGGGTTGATGTTCTTTCTCGACAGTTACAATTTATTTGTTATGTGCTTTGAAGAAAGGTAAATGGATTACTTGGACCAAGCAATTGGCGCAGAAGCAGAATCAGCGACAGGCACTGCACGCCATCCCATGTGAAATTTGAAGTTATTGTTCGGCGGATGCTGCAGTTTGAACATAACCGTACTGACACTCCCCGCAGTAATAGATGTGTTAGCTCACAAAGTGCCTCCCTGTTCGGGCTCCATTTCTCCATTTGAGGAATTTATCCTCGTTTTTCTCTTGCTCTCACACACTGCTAGTGTAAACCAGTTTAAATCTGCACTGTACATTAAAAACAAAAAATGGTCACTCATACCTTCATATCACTTTGAACTTAGAAGCAGTTGCTAAAAGCAGTCATGACCTGCCAAGGACGTGGAATATCATTACTGTCTAAAAAATAACCCAATATTTTCAAAACTTTTAATGCAAGTTAATGTAAAGAGATGTTTTTAAAGTCATTTTGGAGCATTTCTATTGGTCCACTCATCATCATATTTTCACACAATGTAGCAAAGGACAGCTGCTGTGTTCAAATGAAGAAAAATAAAAATCAACAAAAATGGAGGTTCTTCTGGGGGATATCAATGATGTACACCGATCAGGCATAACATTATGAGCACCTCCTTGTTTCTACTCTCATTGTCCATTGTATCAGCTCCACTTACTATATAGGAGCACTTTGTAGTTCTACAGTTACAGACTGTAGTCCATCTGTTTCTCTGATACTTTGTTAGCCCCCTTTTACCCTGTTCTTCAGTGATCAGGACCCCCATGGACCCTCACAGAGCAGGTACTATTTGGGTGGTAGATCATTCTCAGCACTGCAGTAACACTGATGTGGTGGTGGTGTGTTAGTGTGTGTTGTGCTGGTACAAGTGGATCAGACACAGCAGTGCTGCTGGAGTTTTTAAACACCTCAGTGTCGCTGCTGGACTGAGAATAGTCCATTAACCAAAAATATCCAGTCAACTGCGTCCTGTGGGCAGCGTCCTGTGACCACTGATGAAGGACTAGAGGATGATTAGCTCATACTGTACAGCAAGAGATGAGCTATCGTCTCTGGCTTTATATCTACAGGGTGGACCAACAACGCAGGTGCGTCTAAGGGAGTGGACAGTGAGTGGACAGTGTTTAAAAACTCCAGCAGCACTGCTGTGTCTGATCCACTCGTACCAGCACAACAGATGGACAGATGGACTACAGTCTGTAACTGTAGAATTACAAAGTGCACCTATATAGTAAGTGGAGCTGATAAAATGGACAATAAGCGTAGAAACAAGGAGGTGGTCATAATGTTATGCCTGATCGGTGTATATATGATGTACAAAGTGACGTCATGTAAAATGATCTTCCTTTTTTCCCCTTTGAATTTTTTGGATGATTAACATCAAACTCACCTTATCTTAACAGAGACATGTACATAGAACAACCAATGCATCACTTTTTACACCATTTTAATACAGTAGCCTCGTGTTATTTTGCCACCCCAACAAAGTCTTTGAGTCTAACCTGGCCACCCCAGTTCTTTTGGTGGACAACAGTGATATACATGATGTACAAAGTGATGTCATCCAAACGATCTGCCTTTTTTCCCCCATTTGAATCTTTTGGATGATTTACGTCAAACACATCTTATCATAATGTCATAATGAGACAAGAGATGGTAATATACACATATAACTGACACAAACCTAATGTTGCAATGAACTCATGTGAAAGAGGCATAATCTTGCAGCCAGAGGCATAGCCAAGGAGTGGACAGAGGTGGCCAGTGGCAGCCTAGCATGAAGCTTATGATGCACCATAAAAAGTGATGTATGTAATTTACTTGATTGAAAATAAAAATTATTTCCTCATGAATTAATTTAATGTATTACATCAGTGCTGTCTTTCAGTTTACCTTTCGCAACAGTTGTGTTAATGTAATACTTTATTCATGTAGAAATGACAGATAGATTTAGTTAAGTTCAGAAAACAACCAGTGCATCACTTTTTACATCATTTTAATACAGTAGCCTTATTTTATTTATTTTTTTCTTAGCAGCATGCCACCCCAACAAACTCCCTGAGTCCAACCTGGCCCATTCTAAGTTCTAGCTATGCCTCTGCTTAGAGCTTCATGGACAAATCCTATATGTGTTAAAGCGTTCTCAATTGCAATTTCAGACACAAACAGCAGCAAGTTAAATGACGGAAACTATTATTGCAGCAAACTCAACAGGCATACCACAGTCTTAGAAACATTGTGGTAACTCTTTACTTGAAGGGTGTCTACATAACATTCATAACATCTTATATAAACACTCCATAACATGTTTGTGAATGTTTAAATCAACCTTCATAATGCACACATGTTTTACATGAATTTAATGTGGACTACTATGTCATTTTACTGACAGGCGTTTTTCAAAATAAAAGCGCTCAATTTTTACTTTGAAAAATTATATTATTTTTAGTAAAAATAGACAAAAAGAGCCAAAATAAAAATGACCTCACGGTACCCCTTTGGGACACTATACTGTCAACTACTTTCTTAAGCATTTGTTTCTTTACATGCCACTTTACTATGTGGACAGTAAGTTACTATAGTTACTAGTTACTATATAAGTTACTATATGCTATGTACAACCATTCAGCTGAATCTTAGTGTGCATTGCATGACGGAATTTTACACGGCCACAGAACTCATCCATTCCCTGTAGATGCTGGAAAGACACATGAATGTAAGTTAGTTACTTTGCATTGCAATTTAAAGATCCACATAACATTCATTCTGGTTAACTTCCATTACTTTTGAGGTAAAGGCAAAACAGAATTTATCAATCCTTGGGATAACAGTGCAACATTTAACCTCAAAACGTGTCAGTCAAATTGGATGACCAATGCACAGCGATACTTGTGCCCTCTTCACTACCATAAGTGAGAAAGAACATCCCTAAAATAAAATAAAAAATCCTTGGGATAACAGTGCTAGCTTTTAAACACAAGAGTGTTACTGAAAAGAATGCCTATTTTCCACTTTTATTTTGAAAAAGGTCTGTCAATAAAATGACGCAGTAGTTTAAACATTCATGATCATGTTATGAAGTGTTTACATGCTATGAATGTGTTATGTACGCACCCTTCAAGTAAAGTGTTCCCAACATTTTCAGACAAAAAAAATCATACAACTGACTCAAAGCTTACTAAGCATAGACAGCAGATTTTCTGTAGAGTATATTTTGGCTTTTCGACATGACAGTCTGTTCCTCTTGTTCGAGATATTTGAAGAAGTGCTAAACAATCTCTCGCTGTCCATACTTGCGCAAGCCGCCATGATGTACACTCGAGCAGGACAGCTTTTATGGATGTGCCTGTAATTCAGTTCCTGTGTTCTCCTCCTCCTCTAGTGTTTCAATGTACATGTTAGAGGAAGAATCTAGTTCTGCTTGTTCATGATACTCACTGCACTCGGTTGGATGAAGTACTCTGAAGTTGCATCTCATTTATGTTGTAAAAAGTTAATATGGTGTTTACTTTGCTGCCCTCATGAGTTACATTAATTTTTCAAACTTTACAAGTAATACCAGCTTGGTATGAGTCAGAAATTGTAAAAAAACTGCCAGATTGATGAAATGTTTCCTTTCAGCGTATGTAGCAAAATTTAGCTCACATATTTAGCGTAATTTAGCATAATCAGTTTTCACTATCAGCTAAATTAAAGGAAAATCAGCAGAGATCTTTAAGCCAAAATCAGCTGATTAAGATTGATCTATGACCGATCAATCTTTCCGTCTATACATTGTGTCATGGCAATAATCAGGCTAACACTGAGGATTCAGTACTCACACCGACCAGATGTGATGGTTGTAAAAAGAATGTATTCAAAAAGTGGGGCATAATTACTATAGTATAATTTTTAAAGTTTAAAAAAGGTCACTTCATGGCTCAAAACTAGCCTACATCTGTATACACTTTTACTCTGGACACCTAAACTTGCTTGTGTTTTAGCAACAAAAGCCGCTTTTCTGCTGCATTGTACCGGCTCAACTCGACTCACTTTTGGTACCAGCTACTTTGGTTTCCACTGCAGATATAATACCCCCTTAGTGTAGCTGGTCGCCATAGAGACGACAAGCAAAACTGCTGAGACGTGAAGGATGGCATTAAGACAGGTAAGTTTGAGAAATATTACATCAGAGTTCAGACGACAAGACTGGTTGCTCAAAAAAGGTGATGCAAGAGGCTAAAATAACCTGGTAGCTAATGTTAGCATATGTGTTCATTGATTCTCTCCAACCAATTGGTAGTCTGTTGCGTTTTACGTCGCCTTTTGGTATCGGCTCAGCTTGCTTGGAACCTCGATGGAGATGGTATCAAAAAAGTACTGGGTACCAGGTACCAACTTTTGCCGAATGGAAAACTAAAAAAAGGCGAGTGGAGTCAAGTCGAGCCGGTACCATGCAGTGAAAAAGCACCTAAAGGTGACAACAGCTGGTGTGCACAGTTTG